AATGTGCCATGAGGACAACACCCAGAATTCCCAGCAAGTTCTCCTTCATCATTCCATCTTCCTTTCTGAGTATCCATAAGTCTACTGTACTAAAATTTATCTTTACAGTAATACTCTAATACAGATAACATTATTTCATAAGATCTTCAAGAGTTTTGTTCAGTTGTCTAAAAGTGGAATAAGGTTTCCTCTCTGCAACTCTGTTTAACATGTGATAGAGCACTGACTGAGCAGAGATATGCAAAATGTTTTGAATTTGAAACATCCCATATCAAGCTCAAAACATGTTTTGAGCACAAAATATTTCCCAAATGGTTGAAATGGCCCATTTCATGCTTGAAAGAGCTGTTTCACGCTCAAGATGGGTATTTTCAGTTTGAATTGAAAATATTTTGTATGCTTTTATGACTTGGTTACTAGTTTGTCTATATGAGAAATCCAAAACAGGTGGCATCAAAGGAGAAGGTATTTCCTTGAAGTAGACCAACTTTCTCTAGAGTGATGGGTCCAGATTATGGGCAGAAAGAGAGGATATAATTTGTAAAAACAAACTCCCAACATTATTAGCCACTGTAAATTGTGGGTCTTGAATCTCCCAACATTTCTAGAGGCACCAAATGGCTATTCTTTTAAGAAACAGTTCTATTTCTTAATAGGAAATAGTTCCCCCTCTTTTCATTACTGGATCTCCTCTTCATATTTCTATCCTATGTGTTTCAAATTAAGGCCAAAAAAAGACATTTTCCTATATTTTTTGCAACAGTTCTTATTTGATTTCATGAAAGAGGATTTGTTTCAGAAATTCCTTCAAATGCTTGCACTCATTTAATTCTGAGGTTCCAACTGATCTGTGTTTATGTGAATTGTACAATCTCTCCAATGGTCAGCAGCCTCCCTATCTTCTTGGACTTTAATTAAACTGCAAGGGGACCTTATCAGGGGATTTCTCCATAGTTTTTTTTTTTTTTTTTTAATGATGGTGCTACTATCTTCATGAACTAGCTAACCCAGCAAGGGTAATAGAAACATTAACCTCAACACCAGTGGGAGTCCTCCAAGATACACAGGTTTCAGAGGCATTATTGGTAATGACCAGCACCTTGAATTGCACTCAGACTTGTAACCAATGCAGCTCCTGTAGCAGCAATATGACATGACAGTAATGAGTCAGATCCATAAGCTTGTCAGCAGCTATATTTTGCAACAGCTGAAGTTTCTGGGTGATCTTCAAGGGTGCTCCCTTGTAGGGCAGATTACAGTAATCTAAGTGATGACAACAGCATGAACGACTGTCTTCATCCCATTCTAAGAATGGCCACAACTGGCAACCAAGTTGAAGATAGGGACAAGCCTTCTTGGCCACAGCTTCCAACTACTCTTCCAGTAGGAGACACAAGTTCAGGTGGATTCCCAGTTGGTGCATGTGATCTTCGAGGGGGAGCATAACCCCAGAGTTGGTGCAGTTACACTCTCAGTAGGTTTCTGAATTAGCAGCTGTTCCATCTTGCCTGGGTTGAGCCTGTTTCTCCCTATCCAGACCCTGATAGCTTCTAGGCACTGGGTCAGAATATCTTCTGCATTTCCTATTTGGCCCAGGTTGGAGACATACAACTACGTATCACCAGTGTAGTGTTGCTACATCACCTGAAACTGGTGATGACTAAAGTATCTAACCTAGTGGCTTCACGTAGAAGTTAAACAAAATAGGGTCAATGGCTGAGCCCTAGAGCAACCCATACTGCAATGTCTGAGCGTTTGACCTCTCTTCCTCTATAACCACTTACAGACCTCACTCACTCAAGAAGGAGCGCAACCACCACAAATATGGTCTCAACCAGTCCTAACCCATGTAGGCAACCCTGAATACGACTTTCACCACAGAGATTGAGGAGGGAAGGGAAAGTGTCAGCCATTCCTGTCATTCTGACCATGGAGGAAGAGAAGACAATTGTCAGAGAGATGGAAGAGGGGAGGAAGTGCCTCCTCCTGCCACCTCTCTGCGTCAGGAGATATAGGTTCTATTCCTTCCAGATGCACGATGAGGAGGGTAGTATGACAGCTAGATTGAGAACTAGAGACTAGAGTTTCCCAGGGCAGAAATATGACAACCAAGAGTCATCTTCCTTCCAGGCTGAAACGTGTAAGGTTAAATATCTGTTAAACCATAACAAAGGAGAGAAAAGAAATGCTATAATTAACAGTCATGGGTATAAGGAAGCTCCCCAGTTCATGTTGATAAAGGGCAATCAATTACTGAAAACAGCTTCACCCTCGTGGCAGTCTAACTATGTCATGCCAAGTGTCTGGGAAGCTTCTCCCAAGTTTGAACTTGAGAGCCCGACAACTCTGGGAGCAGAACCAAGTGTAAATTACTATTGGGTGTATGTGAACATGCTATTGTCCACTCCCAATCCACCCCACCGAAGAAGCTTGATTGATTTTCCCATGGAAAAGCTCAGAATTCTGGCTGTCGAATTATGCTGCTACCTTATTCTGGTTTTAATTGATGTACAGTACTGTGCAAAAGTTTTAGGCAGGTGTGAAAAAATGCTGTAAAG